CAGAACTACTGCAAAGAATATTTCCACTACTGCTGCCAACGGTATCATTGTTTTGCCGTTTCTTAAAATTAAACTGGTTTCCACAACATCTTCCAGAATGGACTCAAGTAACTTGAATCGAGTTGTACTGAGAGGAGACGCCACAAGTGCAGCCCCCTCAGCTGGAGTCCGTGGTGCTTCTGCTTTGTATCAGAACAACAGGCAGGAAGGGAAGGTGGCCAGACCGGTGTGCACTGACCCAGTCCAACAAGTTCTGGTTCCAGACTCTGCGCATGCCACTGGGCTTCCTGCAGAGCTTCCCTCTTTCCAAATATGGAAATGAAAAACAGGGGTTTTTTAAATGCCTAATGCATAAAGTAGAACAGAGGGCTATAGAGAGAGAGGGAGGGAGGGAGGGAGGGAGGGAGGTTGGTTGGTTGGTTGGTTGGTTGGTTGTGTGGCACAGAAGGAAGACTGCCACACCGAGTAGTCTTGCCAAAGTGTGCTTCCCCACCCAGCAGACCAAACAATGCAAACTGCAAAAACACAAGCTGAAATACTCACGGAGCCAGTCCCAGATGGAGGAATGCTAGAAAGAAGGTAATATAAACAGGATATGCCGCCTCCAAACACCTCACCTTGCAAACCCATGAAACCTTTTTAAAACTCTCAAATGAGAATGCAGCCCAGTTCCAGTTTCAGTTATTATTTATCCCACATCTTAAACTTTGTAGTCCCCCATGGTACGATTCTTCCTGTGCCTACAACACCCCAGTATCTCGTTATCCCAGGCAGCTCAGGAGAAATCTTGTTTTATAGCACTGGCAGACTTTTCCCACTTGGTGCCCACCTGGCGCATCCTGCTGATCCCAGCAGAGGATAACGACAGCTGCCACTCCATGCATCTCAGCTGCACCAGGCTGGGGAAGGCGGTTTTCCTTTGTATCCAGGGATGGGCAAACCTCCTGGGTTTGTTTGAAAATACCTGGTAGACTGGATCTCCACTGGGCATCAGGCAGCTTGGCTGCTGTTTAAGAACCTGCATTTCTAAATGATGCCTACTTGTTTTCGGCTTCCTCTCCTTCTCTTACTGCTCTCCAGATTACTCTGCAAGGAGACAGAGGGCAGCAGGGTACCCCTCAAAGACGGACTGCAGTCCTCAGCCCACATCCCTGTGCCAGCAGCAACAGTGTTGATCTGCACTGCCCAAGCAGGCCAGACGGGTGCTATTCTAAACCCAAACTGGAGTCTTAAGTCCTCCCCACAAATCCATACGGGTGCCTGCAGTCAGTTTTATTGCTAGATCGAAAGGGCACAAAAACATTTTCAAGTAAAATCTAATACTAGCAACTCCACAGAAAGAAACGAGTGACAGATATAAAAACCCAGACCACATGCAGGGGGACTACCGAGTATTATTCTGCTATTCAGTTCAAATCCAGAGAAACAGAATTAAGACATGTGTGAATCTGTGACGGCTCTAGGCCAGTGCAGACTGAAGCCTCACTGAAAAAGGGTGAAGAAAGCGTTATGCTTCTGCTGTTTCTCCAAACGGTACCAGACGGTCGTGCTCAAAGTCTTTAAAACTGGGCATTTATTTTAAAAATATAGCAGATATGAGGGAGACTCGGAAGAGAGGCAAGTGCACACTTCCCCAGACCACACCATGGCAACAGCCCAGCCCACCCAGCACAACTGCACAGCACACACACTGTAGCGCGTGCAACCACACATCCGTGTGGCCATGGTTTGTCTGGGACGGGAGGCACTGTGCTCTGCAGAGCAGGAGACCGCGCTACTTCCCTTGGAGACACAGGCGGCCCTGTCCCACCTTGCTTTTCCCAGCCTTAGCCTTGCTTTTCACAGAATCATGGAGATGGAAGGCCATCTGGTCAACCCCCTGCTCAAGGCAGGGCTTCAGTTAAAGCACCCCTGACAGATGGCTGACCAGTCACAACTGGATTGTCTCCCGTGTGGGAGCGCCCACCGCCTCCCTTGGTCATTGGTTCCACTGCCGTCCTACTCTAACGGTCATGAAGGTCTTCTTGAGGTTCAGCAGGCATCTGACTCCCTGTAACTTGAGCCCATTATTCTGTGTTCTGCACTCTGGGATGATCCAGAAGAGACCCTGGCCTTCCTCTGAGTTGACTGTCTTTCAAGGACTACACAGAAACATAGAAACAGAGCGAGTCAGAAGGGGCCTCCCGGGCCATCTAGTCTGACCCCCGGCTCCAGCCGGCTTCGCTCACAACATGCCCACCATGTGCATGTCCAGCCTGTCCTTGAACACCCTCACCGATGGGGCCTCAACCACCTCCCGTGGAAGCCCATTCCACACCCTCGGGGTCCTGACTGTCAGGAAGTGCTTCCTGGCATCCAAATGGAGCCTTGGCTCCCTGAGCTTGGCTCCATTGGAGGGCTATCCTATCTGCCCACAGTCTTCTCTTCTCAAGGCTAAACGTGCCCGGTTCTTTCGCTCTCTCCTCACAGGGCTTTGCTTCCAGACATCGTTGCTGCCTTGCTCTGGACCTTTCCCAGCTAGGCGGTATCTTTCTTAAACGGCGGAGCCCAGAATGGACACATTACTCCAGAGCGGCAAACAGAGCGGAACCAGCGCCTCATGTGATTCAGAAGCCACACTTCTATCAATGCAGCGATTCCAGGAGATGGAAGCAGCGTAATGTATGGGGCAGCTCTGGCCATCCAACCACAGACACGCTGGAATGTGCTGAGGACGTGTGGGAGACGGCCTGTTTCACCCTGGCCTGCCCCATCAGTGGTCTTTCAGCAACACAGGCAGTGTGGCCAACACCAGCCCTCGCCCCAAAGGGGCTTTCTCTCCCCTGTTCACCCTTCCAATGCACGCTGTAGAGCAAAATGTATTTTACTCTGAAGAATGGACAAAAATGCAGCCTTTTCATTGTACAAGCAGATAATTTCCGCAGAAATTGGATCTGCAGTCATGCTATAGGGTGACCTCTGCCTCATTCACCTTGTTCCACATTTACATATGTAAATTAAAGCGGCAGAATTCTTTGGATTTTGTCACACACCAATAAAAATTCTGCATGTGTGCCTAGTTCCAGTGCGAACATCATTTTTATTCTTCGGTCAGTGGGAGGGGGGGAGGTTAGCCTGCTGGACTGGGACCCAAGAGATCCAGGTTCTAGTCCCTACTCAGCTACAAGGCTCACTGGATGATTCTGGGCCAGTCACTGCCTCTCAGCCCAAACTACCACGCAGGGATGTTGTTGTGAGGATAAAAGGGAGCTCTGCAGCCCGCTTTGGGTTCCTCACAAAAGGAAATATAAATGCAGTGTGATGATGGTGTCAGTAATTATAAAAACAAGCCAGTCTTAGACTTGCTGTGACTAGATTTTAGCAGTAAAAAATGTTCTTGTCAACTAAGAGCAGGGATACAGTCTTAAGCACGCTTTCTGTATTTTATGAGGCACTGTTAAAAAAAGACAAAAGTGATAATATATATAAAATGTATGTATATATTTTAGGTACTTGCTGAAAACGACTTTTTCCTCCCAAGGCAAATACAGGCCCTTGAACACAGAAAGGTTGAGACATTTATGAAAGAAATTAGTCTTGTCGTATTGCTTCAACAGACATGCGATACAGAAAAGTCAAGTCTGGCTTGCAGTTAACTCTATCATGAATTAGCCATTAAGGTATCTTAAACCTCTGCATACGATCTGAGTGTGTTGCACTGCAATCAGTAGCGTGCAATAATTCATACCACATTTCATCTCCTGCAGTGAGGCAGGCAGAACGCCACGCAGTCCTCTGCTGACCTTTGCTACCCGGCCTTGCTGAAGGGCTGGGTTTCTTGTAAACTGCCCGGAGAGCTTCAGCTATGGGCAGTATAGAAACAGACAGACCTATCAGCCCCGAAACATTTTTCTTTCAGCGAAGCAGCCTAGCTCGCCACTCAGAGAATGACTACTTTACGTAGATCCAAACCCGGCCGACTCTGGAGTTGCGGTTTAACCAAGCATTGCTCAATTTTCGCCCATCCAACCTGGTTTGTATCACACTGCTCCTGACACCGTACAGTGTGTATGGTAGTCAACACGAAATGCTAATGGACCTTTCCTTCTGATGGCGTTTTTTTGGAGGAATCCCTAAGATCCCATTATGGCGTGATACTGGGCTACAGCATGGGATCCGCAGGGCAGAAGCACAGGAACAGTCATCACAACATGATGCTTAATTAGCAACCCAGGTTGGCAGGCAAGCTAGACGGGACAGACCGCAGTATCTGCCGGCTGGTTTGTGGCCCCCAAGAGCTACCACGGTTCCACAACACAACATAAAATACCTTCAGTTCAGATTCTATGTATTCTTTGCATTCAATTAACCAAAAAGACATGGTCAATTTTTTGCACTGCTTTAGTATTACAATATACAATATATTTAGCATATTTTGCCTTAATTCCTCCTGCAAAGTAAGCTAGGCTGAATGAGAGTGACTGGTCCAAAATTACCCCATGAGCTTCATGGCGAAATTTTATACATGTATTTATACGCACTAAAACCCTGATATTCTGAGCAACAGACCCACACTTTAACCACTGTGTAACACTGGCTCTCAATCACAGGTCATATCTTATCCAGACCTTCACCAAGAAATTCCGGGGGGTCTACCTTATTTTACCTTCCCAGGAATCCTGAAATTTGAACCCAGATCTGTCCCATCCAAGCATTTTCAGGCTCATATTTCACACTTAAGTCATCTGGGACAAAAGTTTGCTTGCATATATCCCAAATAGCTTAAATGTCCAAGATATACATAATTTAAGGAAATTGCTTCAATATTTGTTGGAGGTAAACCTATATTCTAGTATGAGTGGGTTGCAACAACGCACTGAAGACAGAAGCAAAGTGAGTGTCCAGTCACAATGTGGGGGAAAGACTACCCAGTCTGGCAGAGTCCATGTAAGGCAAAAGCAACTATGTCTCTGAGGATTAGCAGCCCCACACCCCCCTGCAAGTTAAAAATACATACTTACTCTCTCTCTTTTTCAGTCAGTTTATCATTAATATTGTCTTTGATTGCAGATCGGGAACCCTTGTGAATTATTGGATACCTGAGTGGCACTTGGAGGAAGAAGGAAATCATGGAGACCAGGTGAGCCGTGTAGCCCAGGGCAACAGCGATGCTGCTGTCATCCTTTGCTGCGAAAGAGAACACACACACAGCCATGGGACCCGACTTAACTCTTACGCGCAGCGTGTTCGTTCGCTCTCAGCTGGGCAGCCCTCACTTTTGAAGCGCTCCCAACTCTCTAGCCCCTTTTTAACATTCAGGTGTAGATGTTAACAAGAACTAGACTACATGAAGTTGAGCTGAAAGATGACGGGATAAACATTTTGCCACTTCCCACACCTTCCCCACCCACCCGCCGCTCGATCCCATGCCAAAGGCCACCCTCCGCAGCCTTCCTCCGCATCCTGACCTCCAATGCATCTCTTGCCCACGGGAAGCTTTACCCATCCCCAGCCTAAGCAACTCCCCACCAGCCCACGGCCCCCCCGCCCCCGACCCTTTATGGCTGCACTCCTCCAAGAGGATCTTCTGCAGCCCACATATTTGAGAATCCACCTCCCTCTGCCTCTTGTGCTCTCTCCTCGCCTTCCCCTTCAGGCACGTAAGCTCACAGTTGCTCTCTTCCCTGCACTTTGTGTAAAGAGGAAAAAAAAACCATCTGAAGCAAGCTTTAAAACAAGGAAAAGCAGGATCCGTCACACCCTTGAATTCCCTGGATTTGTGCCAAGCTTTTAGTAAGTGGAGACAAGATAGTCTAAGTAGGGGGAAGTTATTTCTTCCAAATTTCATTTTACTTTATTTGTTAAATCGTTACTCTAAAATCTGTGTGGAGGGGAAGCCGGTCAGGAAGCAAGAACGTGTATTTCATTAGGACGATGTAGTTTGGACTCGTGGATTAAGTCCATCCTCATCTGCTCAGATCTCTTTCTATAACCTGTCTGCTTCAACTTCTAAGAAATCATAGAATCAGAAAATAGTAGAGTTGGAAGGGGGCAGAAATCTATCAGGTCCACCCCCCCTACTATCGAAGGACATTAATTTACACCATCCCACTCAGAGGGCTGTCCAGATGCTTTCTGAATGTTTCTAGTGAGGGGGAGGGGAGGCCACAACTTCCCCAGATAATAAGTTCCATTGTCGCACTGCTCTGACAGTGAGGAAGTTCTTCCTCAGGTCTATAATCTAAATCTGGTTTCTTTCAACTTAAGTTCGTTATTGCGTTTCCTGCACTCTGGAAAGGACGAGAAGAGATCTTGTCCTTCCTCTTTGTGGCAGCCTTTCGGGTGCTTGCAGAGGGCTGTCCCACCGCCCCGCAGTCCTCTCTTCCTGAGGCTGAGCATGCCCAGTTCTCCCAATCTCGCCTCACTGGGCTTTGCCTCCAGTCCCTGAATCGGCCTTGCTGCCCCCCTCTACCCTTTCTAGCTCTTCCGCATCTTTTTCAAACCCAGGTGCCCAGAACTGGATACAGGGCTCCAGGGGAGGTCGGACTAGTGCCGAGCATCGTGGCACTACTACTTCCTGTGTTTTGGAAGGGATGCTTCTGCTAGTGCAGCCCAAAATTGCCTTGGCCCTTTTTGCAGCTGCGTCACATGGTTTGCTCATTTCCAGCTTGTGCTCTACAACAACCCCAAGATCCTTTTCACTTGCAGTGGAGTTGAGCCAGGAGTTCCCCATCCTGCAGCAGTGCATTTGGTCTCTTGTTCCTAAGTGGGGGACTTGTCCATATTGAATTTTATTCTGTTGTTCTCTGCCCACTTTCTAACCTATCGAGATTACCCTGCATCTTATCTCTGTCTCCCAGGGTATTCACTGTTCCACCCAGTGTTGTGTCATCTGCAAATTTAATTATATTTCCTTGTACTTCCTCATCTCAATCATTAATATGTTGAAGGGTACTGGTCCCAGGACTGAACCCCGCAACACCCCACTTTCACTTCTCCCCACTTTGAGAATGGGCCACTGATGAGCACTCTCTGAGTCCGATTTTGCAGCCAATTGTGGATCTGCCTAATGGTTGCACTATCTGGCCAGGGCAGCTTATTTTATATTGGTATTTTTGTATTTTTAACTTAATGTTTATATTTTTTAATTTAATGCTATAATTATTTTTTAACTTATTGTTGTAAGCCGCCCCGAGGCTTCAGCGAATGGGGCGGCATACAAATGTTTTAATAAATAATATCTAGCTGGCTTTTTGTAAGGCTGGTCATCAGGATGTCGTGGGGCACTTTTTCGAAGGCACTGCTAGATAGATTATGTCCACAGCATTCCCACAGTCCATCTGGGAGGTTACCCAGTCGAAAAATGACTGGCAGGATTTGTTCTTGAGAAATCTATGTGGCCCTCTAGTTAATTTCATCGTCTTCAAGGTGTTCGCAGACTGTCTGTCTCATACATCAGATGAAAGCCAGTTTTTCTCTCAGTACAGTCTGGGTATTTGACAAGTTTGCCAAGAACAGTAATCGGATTATTGGCACTATCAAATAGCAGCAGCCGAAGAAATGGACCGTTAAAAGTTCTTCGGATTTACCAAGCTGTCACAAGGGGAGCTACAAGATAGGGGTGGAAACTTATACACAAAGATTTTAAATAGGTATGCAAGGGTTTTGCTATTTAGACAGCTGCATCTGCCTGCACATTAGCATCTATCTCACCTTCCTCAGGGTCAGTCCATTAAAAGATACTTATGGGGAAAAAGCATTGCAGCCCAACTTTCTGCTTGAGCACAGAACCTACAAAAGGAGCAGACTGCCCCAGAGAGAAAGGAGCTGATCAAACCCTTTAAAAAGGGGCAGTTTGAACAAAGGATTCAGGGCGCTTCAGTAGCTGAAGGGACCAGCTTAGCAAATGAGAATAAATAAGAAAAACTCATACACATTTTAGCTATAGGCTACATTCTCCTAACTCTCAGCCCCCGTCTGAAAAATTCCTGTTTAGTGTTATGTATCACTGTGTCATTATTGTCTCTCATGGTCTCAGCTTACATATATAACTAACTCGTGGCTTAGTTAACCTATGGTTTGCTGACCTACCCAGGGCTTGTGTTGCATTCAAATAAACTATGGTTTGTTTCCTCAACCCCTGTGTTATTTCCCTCTTCCTTCACTCACTCCCTTTCTATATCCCAAATGATGTCATACTGGCAAATAAGACATCTGCATTTTTAAAAATTATTATTAATATTCTTGCCTGCCACTTCTGTAGCCTGGTGAAACACCCTATAAACAACCTATAGTTCACACGTAACGATCACCCATGGTTTAAACAGACCAATGTTAAGAACTCAACAGCAAGCCATGGGTTCTCTTTCTGGGTTGTTCATGGTTAATAAACTTTGATTTATGCATACAGCTGTGTTTGCACATCAGGACAAACCAGAATTTAACAACCTATGGGTCAGCCTTATGTGTGAATCAGGTGATAGTGTTGCATTATAAATAGTAGTATCTTTTTGTTTATCTTTTTCCCAGCCAGCTTGAGTGGATTGTAGACCCTAAAATATTTTAAATACAAATAAGTGTTCTCTCACAGGATGATTGCAAAGTAAAGAAAGATTTAAAACAGGTAGTTTGTTTCAGCACTTGGATCAATATATACCTCCAAAATGACAAATTGGACATGACAAGTCAATAACCAACTCAGAATCCAGCAAGATAGACAGACATCGATACCACATGTGGGAAGCAAGAAAATGGTTTCATTATAGCCACTTTTGTCCTTGTGGGCCATAACGAACAATGGACAGACAGGCTAGTGAGAAAAGTTGTACACTGATAACCATGCTGGAGTTGCAAAAATAGGTTAATTATTGCAATAAACACTTAACTTTATTATTTATTTCTAAAGAGAACATTCACGAAAACTTATTTGAAAACTCTCATCAGAAACCCTGGCATTGTGTTCATCTTAATTTGGAGTGTGGGTTACCCGACCGACATGTTTGCACAGTGCAATCAGATACCAAAAATGAGCAGGTAAATGCCCAATTACCTTGAAAGTCTTCAGAATTGGGCAGCTTGACTCCACAAATAAAATAATCCTTTTGATCATTCTGTAGATTTAATAGCAGAAAGAGAGGTTGGATTAGAGCCATTTGAGAATAAAAACCCAAGTTGTAAACAACAGATTCAAAACTTTAACATATAATGGAAGGAGGCAGGCCTTTGAACATGTGTCATGGATGTTTAGTGGAAAAGCCAGTCAGGAAAAGACTCAAAACCCATTTTCAATGATACATTCTTGATTTTGACAGCAGACTGCCTTTCTGGATTTTGCCAGCTGTCTTCATTGTTTCTGCAGACAACTCTACAATTACTCCCCCTGCCTGAAGGAATTCTGTGGGAAGGATTAAGACCCACTGCTTCTGAGGATCCAGGGCAGCCCCATGTTACTTGACTGCTTTCTCCAGCCCCTCTCAACTCACTAAAATGAATGCTACAGAGGCTTTCAGGGGACATCGGGTGCGTGTTTTAGCTGATGGTGGCTCGGAGCAAAGCGGGAGGTGTGTCTCCTCATGCCCCATCCAGGACAGAAGACTAAATTAAATAATCCTTGGACCACGTGACCGCACAGTTCACTATCAAGTACTGCCCACTCCTCAAAGCCTCAGGCAGTGGTTTTTTCCCAGCCCCTTTAAGCCAAAGGCCTATTAAGTCAGGAGGCTGGAAATCAGACCTGAAGTCTGGTGATTGCAAAGCCCATGCTGCTAAGACCGAGCACCAGGTTCCTCCCTGTGAAGCAACAGTGCAGCATCTCTGGCCCAGGAGGGCTCCACATCCGGCCCAGGGACTCTCCTTGTCTTCTCCAGGGTGCGGGAATTGACCTCCAGTGCCGCTCCCCGGAGGAATTCCCGATGCCATGCATGAGATGCAGGGCCCGCAACAGTAGAGAGGTCACGGGAGACCCCACTGACACAGGAAAGGGTGGCTTAGGGCAGCGTGTGCTGCTCAGGGCCGCAGGCTCAGCCGGCCCCGGGTGCAGCAGCCACATCCCGCCACCCACCTGCCGGCTTATTGCTCGACTCTGAGGCGCTAAATTGTCGTTCAGCACAAGTAACGTTTAGACCTCCCCCACAACCGAGAATCATATCCTGACTCCAGTTCCTGGAGCTGGTGCAGCTAGAGAATCTGAAACTCACCAAATCAATAGGGTAAATATAGGAAAGCTCTGAAAGTAATTGCCTGCATCTGATGGTCAGCTGTGCATTGGTCTTCAAGAATTGCTCTCTGGGGAAGAGAGAAACTAAAACAGTCAATTACCCAATGATGACTGCCTGAACGAACTGTCAACACCCATTATTCCCAGAAATTTCTCCCCACCTGAAAGCAATAGAAATTTAAATTGTTTTTAATAGGGACAATACTGCGAGAATATAATGCATTGTACACATGGCCAAGATGTATAGCTAACCTTCGGAAAAGCATACCCGTTCCATATAATGAAGTTGCGTATAATGGACAAAAGCCCCTTTTGCCCGTTTTCTCCGAGGAGGAGTGCCCAGCTGCGCCTCCCGGAGGCACGTGTGGCCAAGGGGGCTCTGGAAGGAATGAGCAGGCGGCAGGGGCACCCACCGGGACAGGAGCGTCCCCAGGTGCCTCGCCCGCAGGAGGCCTCTGGCTGAGCAGGATGAGGACAGCAACATCGTGGTGCTTTCCGCCACGTGCACCCAGGGAACTGGCCCACACGGAGACGCACGGACGGTGGCGGGGTCCTCGCAGCACCTGCCAGGTTCCTCCGTGGGATGGCCCCATGAGCACTCAGCAGTGGTGGGTGTGCCACGGAAAAATGAAGGCCCAGCGTGCCTCCCCCCGGCCCTACTCCCTCCACTGACCACTAAACAGGGATACCCACTCTTTAAATGATGACAATGCCTAGTGCGAGCGCCAGTTAGAATCCTTCACGGAAACTCCAGGTTCACGGAGACCCTGAACAATCAGCTTTCGATGGACTGGGCTGAGTGTGGTGGCGAGACCTCAAGCAGTGCTGGGCAGGCCTACTTTTTACGTTTCCCAGAATGCCTCAGAATGAAGTCAGATGCAAGGACAGGCTAGGCTCAGCAGCCCCCTGGCATTGCCTGGAGAGATGGGCCAGGACAGGCATCACCCGTGGCCCCCATCTAGGTGACAGGCCCTGGCCACTGCCCAAGGATACCAGGTCCTAGGGCCCCCCCTTAGCCAACAAGAATACAGTGAAAGAGTCAGCAAGCCACCCTTTCACCACCCCAATGGACCTGGCCGCATCGGAAAAACGAGGGCCCCAAGCAGCTTTTACCTCTTAGCAGTGCATTCTTTCCGTAGCTCTTGCAGAGGTTCTTTGTCCTGTCTGAGTTTCTGAAACTCTTCTTGAAAAACATTTCCTGCCAAAGACATTTTAGGGAAAACGCCTGTGAAGCATCCTCTATGCCATTACAACACCGCACTGGGTGCAACACTGGCCAGGGGCAGCACCCGCCCCTTGGAGCAGCCGGGTGGGGGCCCTCTTCGCCCAGCCGGGGCTCGCACAGCTGCACGGACACCGATCGGCTCGTGCTGCTTCAGGGACACCCCGGGAGGCAGTCCTCTCTTTGGGGAGCGTTCACGTAGGAAGAAGCATCACGCCATCCAGGACTGTTTCGAGGTGCTCTCCTTCCAGGTTCACACGACAGCCACCGACCATGGTTTATAAACCGTGCCAGGTTACTCTGTTGTGCAAACCCAGCGCTCTTCCAGTCAGGACCTGGGAAGGAACAGGAAGCTGGACCCCGTCTTGGCAGCCCCCGCCCTGCTCCCCCAGCAGATGGGACCGGGGAAGGGGCCTGTGGCACTGAGCCCCTGCCCCGGCTGATGCATCCCCTATGGCTGCCATACCTACCCAGGGTGGGGCTGCGGGCTGGGAGAGCTCACTTGGTCAGGCCTCTTCCTGGGCTGCCCCAGCCAAATATGCCCCTCCCACAGAATTGCCCTCCCCCCAGTGAGCAGCATCGCCTCGCAGTGGGGCTCTGGGCCCGGCAGGGGGCAGCCCTTTCCTGCTTGGCCCCCACTCGAGGTACGTGGCCCCACGTTCCTGCAGCTGCCTGACAGGAGCGCAGGGCGGGGAAGCAGATGGCAAAAGTATCCGCAGAGAACCGTCAGAAAAGCCCTGTGGGATCAGACCGAGGGTCCACTCGGCACAGCACTTCGTTCCCACATTGGCACGCCAGCTGCCCCCAGGATCCCTCCTGCAGAATACGAGTACAGCAGGCCCCTCCTGCCCAAGTTCCCCAGCAACCGGTGGAGGGAGGCATCCCAGGAAGCACGGCCAGTAACCACGGATAGCCTCCTCCATGAATCTGTCCAATCCCCTTTGAAAGTCACCCAGACTGGCGGCCACCACCACTTCCCACGGCAGCCAATTCCATAGTTTAACTATGCGTTGTGTGACGAAGGCCTTCCTCTGATTGGTCCTGCATCTCCCATCCAACAGTCGCATGGCATGAAGTAGGATGCAAGAGGGAGAACCATGCGGCCAACTTTCGGCCACTGGCACCCTGCTCCCCCAGGGCTCAAGCCCTTGCGGCATCCCCTGGGAAAGTACAGCAGGAATGAGGAAGGGAAGAGGCGGGACACCGCCACCCACTGCGTCTGATTGTCTGATGGGCACAGGGAAATTTGATCTGCCATCCATGGCTAAACTCCCACCCCCTAGCGGGGGGCAAAGGGGCCACGCAATCCTGCCTGCTACTTCACAGCCATCAAGGATGACTGCATGTTGGAAAAACATTTTTTTTAATTGCTTATATGAATACGCAAATGATCATGGATTGGGGGCCTAAGATGTAGAAACATAAAAGCAAAGTGAGTCAGAAGGAGTCCCCCAGACCATCTGGTCTGGCTTCCAGCTCGTGCAATTCCCGGCATGCGGTTGCCCAGGGCTCCGCAGCTCCAGTTATCCCCCACACAGGTGCTCCCTGTTTCCATCGGGGTTGCACTGGTGCTGCGGTACTAGTGAGTCCGGCTTTCAGGCTCGGTGCTCCTCCAGCGCTCACAAGGCCGTCAGAGCCCTTGCCGCAGCCTCCTGCAACCTGGTGGCCTCCAGAGGCACATGGGCCGCAGCTCCCAGCATTCCCGTCCAGCGGGGCCACTGCTGGGAACTGGGCGTGCCACCGTCCAAGTGCGTCTGGAAGGACCAGGCTGGGGAAGGCAGCCTGACAGGGTGCAGGATATGAGTACCTTAAGGTTCTGCTCTAAGGTGCTTCGGTGTAAAAGGGGGGTCTCTTTGCGCCACCATGATAGCCTGCCGGAAGAGGCAGCCCCTGGCCAGTGCTCCGCTGAGCCGCAGCCCCGCCACTGAAGCTGACACAGCCGCTGCTAACCTGGCCAGCATCCAGCGGGGCAGGGAGCCAACAGGGATTTGCCTGGCCCTGCAAACCTGCCAGCCCGAGCCCAGTCCCTTGGCCTGAGGACTCCAGCGCCTGGGCACTGGCGGAGCTGCTCTGGCACTGCTCGCCCTTCTCCGAGCAGCTGCTCGCCCGGCCCGAGAAGGCGGCCGCTACGCACACTCACCTTTGTTAAGTAGAACACTTTGTTCCTTCTGCAACAAGGCCACCTCGCGGCCCAGGGCTTTTTTCTGCCTCTTGAGCTCATTCCGAAGCACCAAAATCTTCAGCTGTAAACACTCACTCTCTTTTTTCTATGAGAGAGAGAGAGAATGAAAGGATGACTCTGTAGGTGAGACGGACACTTCTGGCTGCAGTCATGCTCCAAACACAAGAGCGGTGCCTTAGAAGAGCCGAGGGAGGCGCAAGCATGAAAGGATGTGGAGAATTTCGCACGAGCAGCAGAGCACTCATGCAGCGCCAGCTGCCACTGGAGGCGACTCGGCTTGGCCTACGACGTTCCAAGGAGTGGGAGCCGGAGAGATGCCCACGGCGCCCCGGCATCAAGGACAACTGTGGCCAACACATCGTGGAATCGCACAGAGAGGTTCTTGGCCAACTTCCCCTGCCTGCCCAAAGAGACGTGTGTTTGGCGGGGATTCAAGGGGGCGTCTTGCCTGCAGCTGTGCCCAGAGATGCCAGAACTCCCTTCTGAGCAAGGCGTGCCCTGGCCTCGCACCAGTGCCATTCCCCCACGAGGTAAAAGCCGTTACATTCTACGGAGGTGCAAGTCTGTACTTTGAGTTACACCTGCTGCTGTTTGACTGTTCTATTTTTATTGTTTGTTATGCAGTTTACTGCACACTGGCCTAGGCACTGGCCCGGAAAAGGCAGAATCTAAATTTAACAGTGACACTGTCACTGAAAGAGCAATACCGGGAGCCTGAGTGAGCCACGCCAGGCAGCAAGACCTCCTCACACAAGCGTTCAGCCCGCCAAACACTACACGTATTGCTCTACCCGCACCCTAAGCCTGACATTCAGGAACTCCTGATAGGACGCCAGCCATTAGAGAGAACGTCTGTATTTTAATTTGCCCAAACAGACCTTCTCTCTAATGATTAAACAAACATGGATAAAGATGCTCAGCGCAGTCCCATTCTAAGCAGAGATGACAGTGATGGACGGCCTATACATTTCCTAAATAAATAAATAAATAAATAAGCCGCTCACGTGCTACTTGCTGGCAGCAGGGCTTGCTTTACCTTGCTGGTTCCAGTGGGCGTTGCGATGCGCTTGTTAAAGTGGGAGCACGCAATGCAACGTGTGACACTATCAGGACAACTGACTCAAGTGCCCACGAATAGGAACGTCTTGTCTACATTTTATTTTGAACTCCACATTGTCTCGACTTTATTAGGGACCTCCATTTTCCATCTCATGTCCAGCCTTTCAAATCCAGGAGGACCTCATAAAAATAGAATGTATGAATCCCACTTGGGACCTGACATAAAATCACGAAGCAAAGGATTGGCTTTTTTAATTGCTGATACACGGCACCAGATGCCTGCCAATATAAATTTCCAAATTAGGTCACCAGCTCTACTGGTCTCAGTTCTAAACGAAGCTGAGCCTTAGGACACGAGCTGGGGCCAAAACCTGGTTTTGTTCTGTGTCCATAAAAACTGAGCCTAAACTGATTAACTAAAACTGATAACATAACTCTCATTATGGATGTGAGCCGCCCTGAGGCTTGGGCGAATGGCACAGCATAGAAGTCTCCTAAATAAATAAATAAATAAACAAACAAACAAACAAACAAACAAATGTTTGTCTCTCTGCCCAAGAAATCATTTTGCTCATCCTCAGAAGGCCGGAGTGGCAGCAAGCGGAGCGGTTATACGCAGCCCAAACAATTACAAGGTTCAAGGCACTTTCCACGGGTAGCTCATTAATCCCAATGCGTAAGCATTTGTTTTTCCTGGCAGCTGCCCTTTGTTCATGCACGACAGAGCCAACAGCGATGCTTTATAACTTCAGAGCATTAAGGAGGCCTATTAATTCGTTTTTCCCCTCTCAGCAATTTAGCTTTAATCCAATACATCAAGATGCTGGACTTCCCAGATAAATGTTTCCATTTAATAATAAAAAGAAGCTTGCGTTACATGCAGAAGTGACAGGTCTTGAGCAAGTTCATGGTAGCCGCAATTATTACATGAAGACACCAAATGTTCTCTGGTACATGAGAAGCTTGTCGTGGCAAATTAATCACTCCCAGCAGCGAGGGGAAAGTTGAGGGTGACGTATCGATTGTTTACTTTGGTCCTCCTAAATTCCCTCCACAGATCAAGTCCTGTCTAAAAATGCCCTTAGTTGCCGTACAGCATTTTGGAAACCTGCTTTGGTGTCTTTGCTTTGCATAACCTACATTACCAGTCAATGTTCAAGTTCCGGTTTCTAGAATTTGGGAGGTTACACATTTGCAGCTTTGCATATTTTCCCCCGGGGAAAGGAGGCATCTCAAATTCTCTCTCACTGTGCCTCCCATGGGTTAATCAAGGCAAAACAAAACACACGCCAGCATCGAAGTTTCAACAGTGCTCATAGGGCCGAAGGGTCTCCAACAGTGGTTCTTCCCTGGATTTCACTCATGCAAAACCAGAGACAAAAACATTCTTCAGGCAGGCCAGGGCCAAAGAGAGACCCTTTCCATGCTTTGGAACTTCCCCTAATTATAGGAACTCATTTCTTAAGGAAGTCTCTGCAGATGCCTATTGGACGAGACAAAATCGCTCTGAAACTTACCAGATCGTTGCTTGTGGACGTAAGTCTCAGTTTCTCTTCAATCTCCCTTCCTATTTTCTGAACAGTTACCTGAGTCTGTTTGATTGCACACTGGGCCCGGTGCAGCCTACAAACACACACAGAGAGAAATTTAGTTTCATTCATAAATATCTGTATATAGCACTTAACTGACAGGTGCTGCCTTCTACTGAGAACTGGAGGAGCAGAGTGGCTGAGGGCTGGGCTACAAATCAGAAGGCCAAACCCTCACCTCTGCTAGGCACTGACATGGTAAGCCTTAAATAAACCATTCCTCGAGCCCTGCCTCAAGCAAGAATGCATGGATGATGATGCTGATCTCCCGCAGGAGGTGGCCCTTAGACCGACAATGCCACAAATGCACATGAAGCACTCAGAGCACTCCTCCTTTGGGGAGGGGGAGACAGAGGAGTCAACCTCAGCCACGGATGGCATCAAGGACAGTGCAGTCTCAGGATTCTTCCATCTGGTTCTGGTGATCTGCAACCCTTACCAGGCTTATGGAAGGGTCGTTTCGCCTCGCAGACCCCCTGGTGGCTGGGTTGCTACAACACAACCACACTGGCAACGGCATCTTCAAAATGGCACTTGGCCAGACACACGGTGGCGTCTTCCTGGGTTAAATAACCCACAGAAACCCCAGGATGGTGTCCCCGTGCTTTCTGCTACTTTCCCCCCCCCCGCACTGGCCCCACCTCTTCTTGAACACCTGCCAACCCATAATTCCAGCCACATTTCCGGCTTGACCTTAGCTTTTCTAACCTTGCATTAACTTTTCTGATCCCTCGCCCCTTTGGCTGCTGATCTAGTTACACCCCCAGCGCCCTTGCATATTCCTAACACTTCCCTTTCTGCTGATATTCAGATTGTTTGGTTGGGGGGGGCATACTGGGGGTCCTTTTTAGGTGGCTTATGCGACTCTGGAGCATCTTACATAGTGGCATGACATAAAAAATAGTAATAAGGAACAAATATTGGAAGAAGACAGGTAACGAAGCTGCGACAAGTGTGAACTGTTTTAGCAACAAGTAATCGAACAGACCCCAGTTCACTGGCAAATAGATTTCGTGTGTGCGTGGCAGCCTCTTTTTTGGGAAGATGCCAACATCTAAGCCCATCAGTGCAATGCATGATTTCCAGCATCACAGTTAGACAGGTCTGCCTGATGACACTAAGCGTCATTACTGGCTAAGGAAGCTCACCACTCTCAGGACCTCTTTCTCGGGTGAACTTCAGCTCTTACCGAAGGGCAGGGGCGAAGGCGAGTGTGCCTCTGACACACCCTTTGCCAAAGGAGAAGTGTGCAAAAATGCTCCGAAGAGTTTGACCACGCCTAACCCCAAACCACTGTTTGCAACATGTACTTTTTCCACCTCAAGAAGGAGACCCAAAGACAAGCTCCAATCCGGACGCCTAATCCTGGAGCAGTAATTCAAACGACATTCCTTATTTGGCCTGAAGAGTCAAGCCCTGCAGTGAAAGCACAAGTGTAAATTCGCAAAGGGTCGCCTGGAATGGCCTGGGCGCATTTGGCCCTTTGAAGAAACAGCATTAAAAAAATCCAAGAATGTAGCACTTTGGAAGCATTAGAATTACATCCCTGGCAGACCTATGTGAGGTTGGGAAGGCATGTTCCCGGGGGTGGCTCTGGCCGGTGACCCTGCAGGATGCTTTTGGCCTTCTCGTGCAGCGTAGCTCATTTGCGTGATCCATTGCACCAGGTTGCCATTTGTCAAATAGAATGGCGCTTTAACTAAGGCAACATGCTCTAGCAACCTTAACTCATTTATTCTCAGCAACCTGGGAGGCAAGTCCATACACTTTCCATTCTGCATAGGGGAACGGACAGAGGCGGAGATTCGCCAAAGGTAGTGCGATGCTTCGCAGCTGAGCTGAAATATGAACCAGTGCCTTCCAGGACTGAGCCCAGAGCTCTGTACGCAAGACAACCTTGGTAATTCTATCAAGCTTGTTCCCTCTCCTACAGACAGGTGTGGCATGGTGCCCTTTTCCCTCTGGCTCTTTTCCCACATCCGCCTATAAAAATCCAGATGTGAATTGTTCTGGAAATGGATTTGACCATGGCACTTCCTGCAAAGAGCGTAGCGGCTGGTCTGAAGTCAGGAGATTTATCCCATCCAGCTCAACCACAGCAGAGCCCATCAGTTAAACACCAAGCGACCGACCGTCTCTGTTTTGTCAATGCTAGCCACAGATACTCCAACACCATATTAACTGAAACAATGCTTCTCCTCCCAGCTGGTTTTTGTCAGAATAATCCAGCAGCTTAAGACAAGTATTCCACTTCAAGCAAGAAGGAAAGAGCTCCATAGACCCTTGATGGCCTGAAGTGTTTTCAGGCCTGAGAACTGTTGAAGCAACACCTTCCTGGGCTAAGACATCGTTATCCCAGATCCAAGAGCTGGGAACCTTTGCAATGCAAAGAATGCTGCTCTTCAATGTAAGGGAAATGGTGAACAAGAATGTAATTATAACCCACTGCTGCAAGAGGGATACTCTCTGCATGGGTCTACACAAGGACATCGGGCCAAAAGGCTAGCTAGCCCGGCATTTGTCCCCACTGAGGCTGACCACCTGCCCCATGGGAAGCCCCCAAGAATGCAAGAGCACCCCCTTAGCTTGTCTCCCAGCCAATGCTGCTCTGGCACTGGAGCAGCAGACACTGATCGCTCCTACCCTCCATGAATTCACCCAATCCAACCTGGTCACCTGCTAGCTTTCAATGCAGTTTCCCAACCATGGCAGACATTCCAGCTGAGCTGGGTTCCACCAGGAGCCGCTGCACGCAGCCTTCGGGAAAGCAAAGGCTCGGACGCCCCTCCAGAACTCCTCAGACACAGAAGGCCCCTTCTGCTCCCCTTCCTACTGCACCTCACTGCCTCTTCTTCCCCACAGCCACTTCTGAATGCCTTCTGGAGCAGCTCTGGAAGCACGAGAGGCTGCTCCCAGCACGCAAGGCAAGCGTGCCCCAGCGCCATGCGCACGTGACGCTCTGCCGCCCAAGCCACATCGGCCAGCTCTGGCTCTGCTCGCCCCGCTTGCCTCCCCTCTTCCTTCTGTGTTGTACCTGTCACACTGGAGGCCATCGTGGCAGAGCGCCGTTCTGCTTTAAAAGGCACTTAACGGCACCGCCTATCCACAGCCATAAGATGTTTCCCATTAAGAATTTCTAATTTCAAACGTGATCGTTAGGAAACATTTTCCAGAGAGGGGGAAGCCAGTTCAGCAGCATGGGCCTTGCACGGGTGGGTAGCGGGAGAGGCCTACAGAGCACGTTAACATCGGACCTGAGCCGGAAGACCAGGCAGGGCTCCCCACGCCACTCGCCCCGCGCCGTCCCACTCGGCATTCCCCGCCACAGAAAGAGCAAGCCCCGCAAAGTGCTGCTACGACATGTAAGAGATGGGAGCAGGAGAGCAGCAGCGTATTTAGGGTGCTACATGAACATTTTTCCACAGCTGCAGGTGGGATTTTCTGCAGGCTGCATCAGAATGATCCGCATACCAATCTGGCCGCACAGTGTAGTCACCTAATGCGCGTTTGCTTTCAATAAGATTTTTAAACGTCCCCGCAGACTGCGGTTGCATTTCTAGAGTCAGTCGTCCTCCTATTTAGCTGTCGATCACAGCATTATTATTCTCCACTTACCTATAAATACTGAGCTCAGCCAGTGTTTTGAAGCCAAGATTGTCTGAAACCTACTTGCCTGTAGATTAAGCGGAGCTGCCAGCTCCAGCACAGTAATTCTACTTGCAACGTGCCCGAGACATTCAGGGTCTGACGGTGCTGGATGTCAAAAGGTGATCAAGAACCGCTTGACCGTGATGCCCTTCCAGTAGCAACGGGGAATGTGTGGCCTTCCAGATGTTGCTGGACCACAAGTCCCACCAGCCCTCTCACTGGCAAGGGCTCATGGGAGTCCATGAGAAGGCCACACATTCCTCACTCCTGCCTTACAGGCTCCCCCTTTTCTGGACACTCCTAAGACATTGTATCATTGAGGTCCACAAAATATATCCTTGCAAGCTTGCCCTCCTTCGCTGTGGTTAAGCCACCAGAGAGTTACCTAACTGCTTTCTCCACACTACGCAAACATTCTTAAAAGCTTTAATAATCATTTCCTTGCATTCTGCTCTGTACTTAATGTAGATTATCTTTTAAAGACTTTAGTGTTCTACGTTTCGGAGATGCTCCCCCAAAACTGATTTGAGTGTGTGAGGAGGTTTGCAAGGAAGTGCTCAAAAGTGCTCAAGCTTCAAGAGCCAGAAAAACACTTGTTGTCCAGATGCAGAAAGCAGGCGACGCCGGTGTTTCCTGGGATAGATGCAGCTTCGAAGCCCATTAGTGGTCATCTGGCCATTTCAGATCTGTATGCATTTACCCAACTTTGACAAAAACACTCACATCCTGTCATGTTTGGCAAAGTTTCCATGTGGTTTGCCAATATGTTTCCAACAGGAAGACTAAAAATAAAATGCCTTGTTCCAGATGCAGCTAACACAGACCAAAGGAAGCCTTAGTCAATAGAGACCCGTAAAATAAATTACACAAGAATGTTAGTTTGTGCCCAGAAGTATCATGCTCTCTCGGTGCCAATATCAATTTTGTTTATTCAAAGATTTGTATCCTGCTTTTTCTCAAACCAGCCACCATCTACGATACATTTCAATTCGAAATATCCGGATCCTCAATTCCTTTGGGTGGCCCGCTGCATTCTCTTTCTAAACTTCCAGTCATCTAGGGTCCCACTGTAATAAGAGTTAAATGAACTCAGATCTGAAGTTCCATGCCTCTCCACACACGGAGAACGGGACTTGGCCGGCACTGAGATGAGCAGCTGCTCCTCTCGGCACGAGCGGGGGCCCTGCTTCTGGGGGGCACAAGCCAAGAGGGCGGCCAGTGCCAGCACGCCCAGCAGTATCTCTGACCCAAGAGGGTGCAGGGATCCCCCCATGGGAGGAACTCAGAAGGCTCTGTGGACCAGGCTGGATTTGGCCCACGAGCTGGGGTTCTTCAGGTGAAATGAACTGCTGCTGCGAGCGTCCATCTTTCCCTGTTAATGCCTCT